TTATTAATAAAAGACCCAAGAGAAAGGAAAACTGTTCTCTTTCATCCTACAAAGAACACAAATGCCCTTGTCCCTGGTGTTGAGTCAATTCTCATTACATCTGTTTCATTTTTTCCCCTCCCTAGGATCTCTCAGAACTTGATTTGTATATAATCAAATAGGACTTCTCAACACCTGGTACCATTAGTAAACGTGGCAAACAATCTTTTTACAAAGGCACTGGAAAATTTTTTCTTAAAATTCCAAGGCATTTTCAAAGGTTTTTGAAATTTTCCTTTTTTATAGCTTATGATTTAACTGCTGCAAATGTCTATTACCTACAGTAAGAGCGTGTCACTCCCTTAACTTGTTGAATCATTTTATTCCTTTTTAAGCAACTTTCCTTTAAAACATATGAATACAAAAAAAAAAAAGCTAACCAACAAGATATTTGGAATTTGGGTTGCCAAAAGGTATCTTTCTACATCAACCTAGGATTTATCTAGAAAAAAAGAAAAAAGAAAAATGTGTGTCAGAAAAACTCATTACAACTAAATGTACTAGTAATGTGTGGTACTTGTTTGAATCCTAAACCAGAAAAAAAAATTCTTCTTTTCTATAAAGGAAATTATTGGGAAAATTGATGAAATTTAAATAATGTCGGTAAGATAATTTTTGTATTAATTTTCCTGATAAGGGATGAACTTAAGATATTTGGGTAAAGAGGCATCATGCCTGCAGAGAAAGAGAAGATGTGAAAGCAAATGTGGCAAATGTTAACATTTGGGGACTCTGGGAGAGGAGTATATGGGAATTCTTTCTACTATTTTCTTACAACGTTAGTGAAAGTCTAAAATTGTTTCAAAATAAAAACGTTTTTTAAAAGTTGGGTGTTAAGAGCAGAAAGACAATAAGATTAATGTCCCTGAAGGTCTTTTTGAACACTTACAGCATTGTGTGGAAAGCAAAAACCTGATTTTAAAAGAAAAGTTGGGGGCTTAGAGTGCCTCAAATATTTGGTTAGGAAGGCACTCCCTAGAAAGTACTCTGATAGGTGCACTGATTTTTTATTCACTATACTGCCATTCCATATTAGCAGAATCTATGAAATACTAGAGAGCTAATAACTCAGGCTAGGCCATTTAAAAATAGCAGGCACTCTCAGACTGGCAAAGATGAAGTTGAGTTATTATGCTCAGTTGGCATGCGGGGCAACCATGGGATTTGTAACCTGTTGGTGGGATTTCGGTTGGTATAATCTACTATAATCTTTTTGAGGAGCGAATCAGGTAGTATCACATTTTAAATGTCTGTACCCTTTGACTTAGCAATTCTACTTCTAGAAATTTATCCTAAAGAAATAGTGAGCTGCCCTAACCGGTTTGGCTCAGTGGATAGAGCATCGGCCTGTGGATTGAAAGGTCCCAGCTTCGATTCCGGTCAAGGGCATGTACCTGGGTTGCAGGCACATCCCCAATACGGGGTGTGCAGGAGGCAGCTGATCAATGTTTCTCTCTCATTGATGTTTCTAACTCTCTATTCCTCTCCCTTCCTCTCTATAAAAAAATCAATAAAATATATTTTTTTAAAAAAGAAATAGTGAGTTGAGTGAACAAAGATCTATATTCAAGGACATTAACTCTGTCACAGCAAAGAATGGGAGACATTATGTGTCCATCAGAAGATTAAATAAGTTATGGTTTATCTATAAAAGAGAATATTCTTCAGCCATCACAAAGTATGAGACAAATGACAGAGAGCAATATCCCTATATATTAAATGAAAATCAGGTTGCAGAATAGTATGTATTGTATGGTCCTATGTATATTTATATTACTTATTTATATTTAAAATAGAAATATGATGTAGGCATTTTTTAAAAGATTGAAATAACATGTAAAAAATTGTTGGTAGGTAGTTAGAAAAATATGCATTGCATTATTCATGGCAGACTATTATTCATGCAAGGCCCAGTGCAAGCTGAAAATGTAGAGCCCCTCATTAAAAAATTAAGAATTTCAAAATAATGACAGCAGAGTATTAAGCCTTTTAAGTGTAGGGCCCTGTTCAACTATATAGGTGCATTGTCCATATTGCTGGCCCTGGCTATATACTACACTATACACTTAGGTGTATGCTACACTACCCTATATAGGGTGGGGCAAAAGTAGGTTTATAATTGTGAGTATATGAAATAGTTATATTCTTGTATTATTAATTATTGTATTATTTTCATATGAAAACTGTAAACCTACTTTTGCCATACCTTGTACATTACAGTGCAAGGTAAATGTTAGGATATAAACCATACTCAATGGTAGTATATGGGTGAGTGGTTGGAAATATACATGTTGTCTATCTCCCCCTCCCCCATACATACACACACCTCTTCGTTATTTGGGGAATTATAATAAGTGAAATACTTTGTGATAAATGCAATCCAAAGCATGTTTAAGTTATTCCTAAAGGAAGCTAGCATATTCATAATGCTGAGATTGGAGAGTTTCCGGTGTCCCCTTTGGATCACTTTGCATGCCACGAGAGTGCCTCCAAGAGGACTGACAGAGATTCAGTGAGGAGACAGAGATGTGCAGCTCTCAAAAGAGATTTCTGTGGCAAATTTTAATTACTTTTAAAGAGGTTTTACAATAGTGTCTATCAAGACAGATAAAGGATGGGTAATTTTTCCCTCCTTTTTATGTGGCAAGTAGAAGTATAAGAAAAAAATAAAAATAAAAATTACAAACAGAAATTTCCTATCTCTAAAAATTAAATAGCTCTTCCAGGCCACCGAGGTATCAACAGATATTTTTCTACTGCTCTAAATGGCTTATGATACCCTTCACTATCCAAATAATAGTATTACTAGTCATAAGTTGACTTGATCTGGCTCCAAGTTGAATGTTTTCTCTGATGCTTCTATTTATAAGTAGAATTAAAAACCTGGGAAGTCTAATTTGGGATCAGCATGGTAGCTTATGTTCTGCCATGCAGAAGATCAGGGTTTGATTAGGCAGATCTTAGGGCTGTAGCCAAAAGGCAAGAGAACATGACATCCTAATATATAATAGGCTCTAAATAAGATGGTCTAACACTTATTAGGCACTGATTCTTATTAGTAATGAGGACAACTTTTAACAGGGCCTAATGAGCGATGGGATATGCACATAGGTGAGAGGACAAGGGTTTCCAAGATCCAACGGAGTGGGGCAGGGGTGAGAAGAACATTAAAAGATTTGTTGTGAAAGATTTTTTGAAGTCCATCGTAAGATCATCAGTGGTGACTAAGTCTAAAGGACACACCAGGAATTACAGACCTTTGACTTCTTAGGCATCTGGAGAATTTGTTGAAACTATTTGAGAAGTTCTCCAAGAGACTTCGGGGTTTTGTATAACATAGTGACAGAAATATAAATAGAAACTGATAAATCCTATGAGGTATACTGTGCATTTCAAGACATTCTGTGCCTTAAATGTGTTCAATTTTGCACTGTTTTTAATTCATTTCCCAGAATTCTATGAGTACACATGGTACCATATGTTACATATACTCTATGTTCAGTAATGGGGAAAAACAATTAATAAATATATCAGAGTCCTCCTTGTATGTGATTATCCAAGGCAGACATCTGTCTTAGGCCATCAGTTCCGTCTTCATTAAAATTATTAAAATCACTCATATTCGTGAGATTTAACTTTCAGCAATCGGACTAGCACTACTATTCTCAAATTTCAAAAAGGACCCCAAATCCAGGTATAAGATATTACTGAAGGTAGGAATCTATTATTTCCACAAATCCAAAAAAAGAGAGCTCTTTTAATGTATTTGCCTTTTGTTATCTCCATAGATACTTAATTGCTTCTACCTTAAATATTACAATGACTTTCTCTTTAAAAAGATATTATACGCATGCACACATGTGTTTGACATAAAGAACTTTCTAAATGATATCCTCTGAAGAGTGAATGGGCTATGATTCAAGAAATACTGGCTTCCCCTGTAATGAATGTGTTGTACTTAATGAGAACGTAGAAGTGAGAGTTCAAACACAAAAGAGATAGTTGAACTAGATAACATTTGTGCTCTTCTCCAACTCTGAGACATGAGGAAATTGAAACAATTCTTAGAAGTCTTGCACAGGGCAGAGGATGATGACAGGGAGAATGGAGAGGCGGCAAATGAGACACTATGAAGATATCCTATTACCTCAATACAATTTGCCATTGACTGAACATGGAACTTAGAAGAAAAGGATGAAGAATCCAAAAAATAGCAAACCCAAAGTTTTCAGCTCAAGAAACCGAGTAGCACAACTAATAGAAATGAGAAAGAATGAAGAATTAACAGGTTTTCTCCCATTATTTTCATTGTGAAGTAATTCCCCTGAACAGGGTGACTAAAAACAGAGACATTAACTCTGCATTTCTGTTTTGTTTGTTGGTATCAGAGATGGTTCCAGGAGATCAGTCCAGATGTGACAAGTGACTCCACGCTTGGACCTGTGAAGGCATGGCCCTGAGGAGGCGGCAGGTAGGGGGAAACCAGAATGCCTGGCAAATGGGCTGGAATTCGGGAGCTGATCTAGAACCATTAACGGAGACAGGTTCTGTCTCTTTGGGAATTGACTCAAGAACTGGGACAGGCCTGAACCCTCAGGAGCTAGAGAAGGCAGTGGCAGAGGATATGAGATTGAAGCTAACAATGAAGAACTCAGAATAGACTTCACAGACTCAATGGAGCCCGTCTTTTAGAAGAATATCATTGAGAAAAATGCTATTTGAAAAAACTAGAGGCAGAAAGAACCCAGGAAAATGTTGCAAAAATCTGTTCAGACAGTAAAATGGAATTGGATATTACTGGCCTGTAAATTCTGTCCTTGAAACATTAATTGTTTGGTCCATTTTTTGAGTAAGCACTATATAACCATTATTTTACATTTGCACTACTCTGAAATTTTGCATGAAATATCATCACCTATTACTGTGATGCCTAATTATGCCTAATTTAACTCTGTCCTTACCTGAGGCTGAAACCACCTTACATGAGATGTTACACCAGATCTAGTGGTTCTCAAAGTATATTCCAGGAACCAGTACCATCAGTGAGCACTTGTTAGAAATTCAAATCTTCAGGTGATCTCCCAGAGTTACTAATCAGAAACTGGAGATGGAGTCCACCAATTTGGGTTGTAAGTCTTGCAGGTGGTTCTAAAGCACACGCTAAAGTTGAGAACTACTGCCTTAGGCATTTCCCAACTGCATCTCTTTACAGCCTGTTAAAAAAAAACAAAAACATTCTTGTTTTCTTTGTACTCACAGCACTACCCTCACTTCTGATCACCAAATTCGTAGTTTCTTCCGCCACACCAAACAATTCTGCGACACATTAGGTGTCTTATAATTTAACTCAGCTTTTATACTACTGGGAGATAGTGACGGATCCCACAGGTTAAAGACTCCCCACCTCACTTCACACACCAATCACAAGTTCAGGTTGTCACCTGTGCTTCTGACTGACCAGGTATACATTGGAGGTTCATATAACCCCTCCTGGGGTTTAATTAATTTGCTAGAGCACCTCCCAGAATTTCCAAAAGGCTTACTGATTGGATTACCAGTTTATTATAAAAGGATCTAACTCAGGAACAGCCAGATGGAAGAGATGCGTAGGACCAGGTATGGGGTAAGGTGCAAAAAACTGCCTTTCCATGTCCTCCTGGGGCTCACCACCCTCTCAGCACTTCCACACATTCAACAAGAGGAAGCTCCCTGAACTTGTTCTTTTTGGGTTTTTAAAGGAGACTTTATTATGGACACATGATTGATTAAAGCACTGGCCATTCAACCTCCAGTCCCTCTCCCTTCCCAGAGGTCAGAGGGGGGTAAGACTGCAAGTTCCAACCTTCTAATCACATAGTTACTTCCCCTGATAACCAGCCCCCTAATCTTAGGGACTTTCCAAAAGTCATTAAATTAACATACATTCAGATGTCATTGAGAGGGGTTTGCTATGAATAACAAAGGACACCCAAATATTCATTCTGAAGCTATTTCAGAAGCTGAAAAGGAACATATATAAACTATATGTTATTGTGCCCCCCCCCACCCCACCACCGCCCCATCCCCCACCCCGTAACTCTTATCACTTAGGAAATTATAAAAGTTTTAGATGCTGTGCAGAAACTATGGGAAGAAGAAGACTAAATATATATTTCTTTATATAAATCACAATATCACAGAGGTCCAGCACAGATCTGTTACAAGCCAGTCAGGCAGTATAATTGTTCTGTCTGTTCAGGCTCCTATAACAAAATACCATAGACTGGATGGCTTAAAAACAGAAATTTCTTTCTCACATTCTACAGGCTAAGAAGTTCAAGTTCAAGGTGATGGCTGATGTGGTGCCCTACTCCAAACACCCTCACATTGGGGATGATGTTTCAACATATGATTTTGGGGGGAGAGGGTACACAAACATTCAGTCCATAGCAATGGTCAACTAAAAAGGGTGAGGGTTCTGCAGTTAGTCAGGCCTGGAATCAAACTGGGGCTCTAGCACTTGTTCATTGTGTAGGGTCTTGAGCAAGTTGCTTAGCCTCTCTGCAGCTCAGGTTCCTCATTTAGGAAATGGACGTGATCATACCTATCTTGAAAGGTTACCATGAACACTGAAATTTATGTACCTACATAGTAATCAGCAGTGCTGGCTCTGGTGTCAGACCCAGTTCAAATGTCAGCTCTTGTATTTACTGTGATCCTGGGAAAATTACCAAATCTGTTTTGAATTTCTCATCTGTGAAGTGAGTAATAATATACTTGTGAGGATTCAATGAGTTAATATATATCAATTGCTTAGAAGACTTTCTACCACATAATTGCTCCATACTTGTTATCTGTTTATAATAGTAGAAATACAAATAACAATAATAACAGAATAATTCACACAGATAAAACACCTAGACTGAGAATATGGTAGGTACTCAATATGTGGTAATAATTATTATTACTGTCATAAAACTCTTTCTCATAAAGCATAGGGTTATCAGAGGTTCCAGTATATAGGCAACCCCTGATACTTCCTTTACATTCTAATGTCCTCCCTCCCCTCTAAATAAGCTCTATGGATTGCATCAATATCAATTTCCTGGTTGTGACAGTGTACTATAGTTATACGAGATGCTACCAGGGGGGTTGGGGCTAACTGAGGGTATTTCTGTTTTTAAAGATAGGGGTAAGGAGTTTGCCTGAAGTGAGAATATTGGGGCAAGAGAATATTTGGGATTTATAACCCTTCTACTCCCCAGTTCCTTATTTCCCAGTCACTAGAATTCTAACGTTCCTCTACCAATGTGGCTACTGGAAACCATGGGAGCCTGACTGGTGAGGGCTAGGCCAGGCTCCCATGACATCAGGTCAGGTATGACTTTGTAAAATGTTTGATCCCTGGAATTCTAGGTGCAAGGAACAATGTAATCTTGGTAACTTCATCACCAACACAATTCCTGGTTATCTGTTATATAATAGCAGGAATACAAATAACAAAGACATGGGGTGTACTCCTGCTGACAAAAGTTGTAAATCTAAATATTTTCCTCGTGGGAATATTGCCATATTTTTGTGACTAGGTTCTAGGATGTTCATATAAGTACTTACAATTAAATAAGCCTTTGTGGGCTAACCTGAATATCTACCCTTGGTCATGACCATGTTCTTACGAACATATTTCAAAGAACTAATCTGTAAGGAAACTTTTGCAATACCACCCATCTGTAAGTCACTATACCTGGTTGATGCTATTAACACAACATTTTTTTTATTGTTGACACAGAATGCTTCATTTCAAATATATATTTTTATTTGTTTTTTCATCCAACACATACTTATATTCCAGGCCCTGTGCTAGGCGTACACACATTCAGAAGTAAAGTTGGCTCTCCAAATATTCCTGACAAGCTTTCTTAAGTAGTAAACTCAAAAAAGATAAGTCATTATTAGAATTCCATTCTTGAACTCTCCTTTATTTGATAAAAGTATATGTTATTGTGCCTACCCTTCCAGCATGCCCCAGGCCCTGGTTTTTCAAAAGACTGTGGACTTTCTTTCAGTAGACATCAGGGCACAGAGCAGATCTTAGCAATAGCAAACAAGTTCCTGTCAAGTGTGTGCTCTGATATAGAGTCTGAGCAGAAAGAAAATCAGGCTTGCATCATAGATCTCGAAACCTACTGAGCAGGGACCATGACCAATTCTGTGTCCAGCACTTGATTTTTTTTTATTGTTTAAAGACTTACATATGTCTCCTTTTTCCCTAATTGGCCCCCCGCCTCCACTGCCACTCCCGCCCCCCCCCCCACCAGGACAAGCCCCCACTGCCCCAGTGTCCATGTCTATTGGTTATGCTAATATGCATGTATACTAATACAAGTCCTTTCGTTGATCTCTTACCACGCCCCCCACCTTCTCTCTGAGGTAACACAACATTTTTTAATTGAGGAGCAGTAGTGACCTTTCTAGGCTCACTGATTTTGTTTTCAAATTGTGTTCTACTTAACACTAATGTCTCAGAGTTCCCCAAATTGTTAGACCAAGGAAATTTTTTTAAGGAACACTTACAAACATCTAGTTCTAAGAGATTCTCTGTTTGAGAAACACTGCTCTAGGTCATGTGATCAGTCTCCTTGACTATTTGGCTTCTTAAGTTGCTCCTTCTATGGTATTTATATTTTAAGAATTAAAAATGAATAGTATATCCTTTAATTTTCCAATATTTTATGCCCAAATAAAAAGCAAGTGAAAAAAAGCTTTTGAAAATCTATGCTTGTTTGCCTAGTAGCAATAAAAACAGATATCAACCAATAATTTGTACACATAAATTATAAGTTTTTCTCCAATTAATTAGTCAAGGCTAAGCTTAAAAAAACTAAGTCAAAGAAAAACTAAGTGGTTCATCTATTTCAATGACATTAATATCAACAGCTAGACTTTTAAATCATCGTCTCTTACCATTCAGGTACTTCACTCAAAATAAAGTAATTTTTCCCAGGCTCCTCAAGTTGTAAGCCAGAAATTTTTGACAATGAAGAAAATAAATGAAGTCCCCAATAACTGATCGACTATATTTTCCTAAGAAAATTAAGGTATACTATATTACCAAAGGCCCAATGTTTTTATCTAAAAAAAGAACCAGTCCAACTATAAAAAACACAATTACATTTTAGTAAGAGTTAGCAACATATAAAATTGCTTTTTGTTTCAGCAAATAATTCTAGAGTTTTACTCAAGAAATCATATATAATCCCCCAAACAGTGACAGAAACTGTAAGATTCATAGTCCAGATAGAGAGGAATTTCATAATCTTCAACTTAATGTACATATCATGAGAGTGCTTCAAACTGCTTAAGTGAAATAATTATCAATCATAATTTTTTGAAGTTACATTTGTTCAACTAAAATCCAGTGTAAAACTTCACAAATCTTGCTCTCACAAATCTCTCCTACAGAACACAGAAAGTTTCTTTATTCAGAAAAGTGACTCTAAGAGAATTTCGTGACACACTGAAAGCAATCTATAATAATAAAAGGGTAATAACTGGATGTTTTCCGGACATCATTCCAGACCTCCTTCCTGATGAAGCTGGGCCCCCAGGGAAGCCAGCCCGGGTGCTGGCAGCTGGGGGAAGGAAGGCCAACTCTTTTTAAAAATATATATATTTTATTGATTTTTTACAGAGCGGAAGGGAGAAGGAGAGTTAGAAACATCGATGAGAGAGAAACATCGATCAGCTGCCTCCTGCACACCCCCTACTGGGGATGTGCCCACAACCCAGGTACATGCCCTTGACCGGAATCGAACCTGGGACCTTTCAGTCCTCAGGCCAATGTCTATCCACTGAACCAAACCGGTTAGGGCAGGAAGGCCAACTCTTGCACATTGGGCTTCTAGTTATCTTCATAATACTTTAGACTTTTCTTATACCAAAGTAGTAACAACTCAGGATATGAACATCTATTTGAAAGCAGGTCTCATATACAGGCAAACCTCCTTTTATCCATGTTTCACTTTATTTCGCTTCACAGGTGTTGCGTTTTTTACAAATTAAAGACAAGACCCTCCACCAGCAAAAAAGAAAAATTTACTTGCTTTATTGTGATAATTGCTTTATTACAGTGGTCTGTAACCAAGTCCACAATATTGCTGAGGTATGCCTGTATAGGTTTTATAGTGTTTGGTTATAATTATGTTTCATATATACAAGGAGCATTTGTTAAATAGTCCATGTTAAAATGGTATCGATGACTGAATACTACTACTACTACTACCTTCTTAGTTCAGCAAATTGAATTTTTGAAATCTCCAAACTACAGTTAGAGCTACCTTATATTGCCAATTAGGTTGCCAATCTGCATTTAGAGCTATAACCAACTCCTGGATGAACTTCCTTACTCCTCTGATAAATTATGTATCTTCTATCTAGAACAACTGGAAGTACAACCACCAAACAGGTAAACTGGATGGAAAAACATGCTAATTTCAAATGAAAAATTTAGGCCAGCAAACAGACTACCTAACCATTATAATTAAGGATAATTGTTCATCTTAGCAAAGTGTGTCACGACTACTTTTAAACATGTTTTTGCACTGAAACCCATGTTTGGTCTACTCCCTGAACCTTAACCCTGGAATGAGCATGATACCAAATTAAGAATTCTTAGAAGGGACCCAGTGTAAATTAGAAGCAGTAACAACTCAATCCACATTTTTAATCAAGAAGTATTAGCCTGTTTTTAAACTTATGGAACATACATTCAGAGTAGCTTAGAGTCAGGTCTTGCATTTGACAAATAGTCACAGAGGACATACAATGTGCCATGTACTACCACGTGCTGGGTACACATAGAAAACAAATATGGTTTTTGATTTCAGAGAGCTTATTGCCTAGAGAGGAAGATAGGCCTTAGACCAGTGGTTCCCAACATGGGGCACATGCCCCACAGAAGGGCAATTTGATTTTTAAGGGGAGCAATTTGAGAATGAGTTATTAACAGTGAATTTTTTTGCATTTCTATGGTTCTAGGGGCCTCATATACAGTATATAAGTATATACTTTGACATATTTATGCATTTCAGTTCTCTATTATGTTTTAAAACTTTATTTGCTATTTTTTCATATCACTTCATATTATTATTTTTTTAACTATTAGTGATTTCTTCCTCAATACTTCAACTGTCCTTTCTTCTTTTAATTTTCTCTTTCATGGATACCATGTTCTTTGGAAGCTTGTTTAGACCAAGTTAATGCCCTTTTAAGCTTCCTCCATGTGAAGAGGAGTTCACTTTTTGAATAATAAGAATTATATGTCACGGGGGGGGGGCGGAGATCAGGATTTTAGAGATGCTTAGGTGGGGCATGGCCAAAAAAAAGTTGAGAACCACTGCCTTAGACATTAAACAAATAATTTTTTTTAAAAACCTGAAATTACACGTTGTGGTTATTTCCTGTTTGTTTTGCATCTTTCTCAGTAGGTCACTGTGATCACACCCTTCTTTTAAGAGTATTCTGCAGAGAAGCTCCATTGTCATTTAATCATCAGAGACAATCAGTTGTAGCTGGGAGACTTGAAGACATATAATGGTAGACAATTTAATAGCCTTTATCATGAGAGCTATCATGGAATTTATTCCAAAAAGTACAAAATATTTGTCTATACACCCATGTTAGCGAGAGAACTTCTAATTATAGGGTAGGAATTCACTAGTTATTTGTTTTCTTGAATTCTGCGCATGACAAAATCCATGTTGGTGGAACACACATATTCAGCTTTTCCACTGAATTTTCTTATCCTTAACACATTTTGAAAACATCAGTGCTCCAGTGTGCAATGTTACTTCAATTAAATGACTCTGGGTTATAAAGATTTATAACAAACATTATCATTTAAATTTAAAATCAGCACTGAATTTACATTCAAACTAACCTTCAGTGTGAATTACTTCCAGATACAGCTTCTGTTTGCCTAGGTAGCTCAAAGTATAAAAAATATCCAGGACTTGCCCTGACTGGTTTGGCTCAGTGGATAGAGTGTCGGCCTGCGGACTCTAAGGGTCCCAGGTTGGATTCCGGTCAAAGGCATGTACCTTGGTTGCAGGCACATCCCCAGTAGGGGGTGTGCAGGAGGCAGCTGATCCATGTTTCTCTCTCATCGATGTTTCTAACTCTCTATCCCTCTCCCTTCCTCTCTGTA